AGACTCGATCTGAAGCCCCACGAAATCGCGAAGAAATCGTGAGGAAATCGTTCCCACGAAGCCCCCAAGACTACTGTAAAAAAAGAAAAGAAGATGAGGCTTACTAAAAGATCCGTGAAAAGCCCATCTGTTTGTGACAAAGGACCAAGCAAAGCCAAAAGTGGCATGCTATGGCTTGTAGGGTAGAAAAAATTCGATCTTGCTCTTTCCCCCCACATGTAAAAATTGTTATAAAAATGAGCTTGTTTCGCCCTCTAATAAGAACAGTGTGTGTTTGCATAAAAACGAAATTAAGTAGTTTTTAGTTCCCGCCTTATATCCGATACGCCTTACCTTGCCAATTTAATCCGCATCTACGTACCAACTATATAGATGGTTTGTTGGTTGTTTTGGGTAGGTTTGGTGGTGATTGGTTAGCTCGTGTTGCCGACCAGTTGCCTCCGACAATATCATTAATGATTATCATACATATGGTATATTATTTAGGGGTCAACATCATTATGACTGATGAAGAAGCATTAATATGTAACTTTACAGATGATGAATACATAAAAGATGATAATTTTGTAAACCGTGTTGAAAAATGTAAAGCCTTTGGTACACAGCAAGGGGCTGACGGTGTTTTCCTAGGGGATAAAGATTCATTAAGAAATTATTCCACATATAAAAGTACGGTCCATTGACAGATAATGAAAAATGGAAAGCACATCAAGTTGCTCAAGCCTATCATCAACAATTCCCATCTAATGTACAGATAACACCACCGGGTGTCATTAAATATTATATGGAAAAACGCCTCCCTTATTCTTCTTCAGTGCCTTTTACCAATTACTATAAAAAACGGTTAGAGCTTTATCAAGCCAGATGAGGTAATGTTTATAAAAAATTTAAAAGCAGTGGATAAAATGTTCTTTCATGGGTTCTTAAGTCCCAAGTTGTTCCTAAGTTGAACCCACAGCATAACGTTGTAACTAATACCCATAAATTCTTTTAGATGAATCTAAGCCTATCTGATCGGTTACTGCGCAAGATCTTGCGTCATATTATGTTGATATGGTCATTCAATTAGAAAAAATTAATTATCCTGTTACCGGTGACGGAACAGGGATGCCACTCAATCAAAATATGCAGATTCTCTTTGAAAACTTAGAAGCTTTTAAACAAGAAAAAGGAGGTTATACTTCGAGGCTGATGCACACGAATTCGATAGTAGAACAGGAACATACCAAGCTGAAGCTCTAGCTAAATTGAAAGCATTAGGGTATGAGCGTTATGGTAACGAAATTGAACATAAGGTCTATAACTTTTATAGTAAAAACAATTATAAAGCACTACATAATACAGTTATTTTTGGTTTAACTGAATCCAAAAGTGATACCATTCGTACACGTATTGTCACGGGCAAAAGGTGGCTAAGTATGGATATGATAATAATTAGCCAACTTGTGAGCCAACTCACAGGTCTCCCACGGGTCACCCGTGGGTCAACCTGCGGGTTGACCCACCCGTTTTCACCTGAGTTGCTTAACTTAACCCGGGTCACCCACCACCCGCGGGTCATCCACCCGGGTCAAATCACTAAGCTAGATATTATGCTAAATTATGAGAAATTTAAGTTTCCACGATTAAACCTATAATGAATTAAATTAACCTATCCCACTTAAGCGAATATTTTATTTCTTCAGAGAATCTAATTCCTATCTAGTCCTTATAGTGCACCGACCTGGTGTATATTTTCGAGCATTGACATACTGAGTTTAGTAAGATGCATAAAGCATATATAGTTCTATAAACAAAAATTATTGACTATAATATGGGTTGTTACCCAGAAAAACCATGCTTAGAATATATAAAAAAATACATACTCTAAGCATGGTTTTGCTGGGCAACAACCCATATGTATTTATTAGATTCTTTTTTCTATATTTGGACCAAGTTCGATTGGATAATTGAAAAGCGATTCATAGAAGATTGAAAGTGGGAAAGCATATTTCGACGATGTGACTTATTAAATTCCTCAAGCACTTTGTGTCATCCAAGCCTTTTCTTTTAAAAAAAAAACAATGATCTTAATGGATGTTTCAATAGTTTAGTACAAAAAAAAAAAAAACAGAAAAAAACAATGCGCTTTACTTACGATCTTATGAATCATAATTCGAATTATGATAAACTCGAATTATTCGAGTTATGAGCTGATGAGTCTAATCACCAATTCAGAATTAATCCTTTAACAACACGATTAAACTAGTTATACCATTTTCTCGAAGCTACTTATTCTTTCTAAGTCACGAGTTTGTTGTGCCAAATTTTGTAGATCCCGTGACAGCATGACTTACAGGTTTTGGCATCACTTATAGCATGCTGTTTAAGTTACAAAATAAATATTTTGAGTTAACGAATGTTTAATTCAAAATTTATTATAGCTAAGATTTTTATTATTATTATTCTATGTGTATAATTAGTAATTAAATTCATGAATTTTACTATCCAAATAAAATTTATCTGTGCTAATTGGTACATGAATTTAAGGACGATTTACTAGCTCATATGGTATATTTCGAAAGTAAGTGGGGTGATTTCTATAGTGAAAAATTCTTACCGACTATTGTGGAAATACAAGTGATTTAGATATGTTTACTGTACTTACTAGCTATTGTGGTGATACAGGCGAGTTTTGTATCGGAATGAGCGTGATTTTTATAGTAGTTTACTGTACTTACGAGCTATAGTGATACAAGTTAGTTTTGTATTGGAATGAACGTGATTTCTATAGTGATTTACTGTAAAAAATTCTGGTTTACTGTACTTACGTGCTATACTTTACTTACAGACTATTGTGGTAACATAAATGGTGATCGAATTATTGTTTACTTCTAAGACAAAATTTACAAACACACATTATACTTACAATCCTTTAACTAATTTATGGGCCTTTGTTACCCATGTATCATTTGGTTGAATTTTTAATAATTTCTCCAAGTCGGCAATTGATTCATCATATAATTAATTTCTCCTCGGTACTTTAGTGCTATTATATTATTTGGTACGTTTATAGCAATCTAGTTAAATCTTCTAATGCCTTATCATATTTGCCAATAATAAAATATATTTTTCCTCGATAGGTTAATTCAAATAAATTATTTGGTTCTTTTTTTAGTGATGTTGTTATTCATCGGTTAAATTAACAAGCATATTTTCATGTCCACCCATAATAAAATAAATCTTTTCTTGATATTCCAAAGCTAATACGTTATTTAATTTTGCTTAATGTCTTCATTAGCCATTGCTATCAATTAAAATATATATAAAAACAAGATTAAATTTTAAATAAACCAAAAACATTAAAATCTTTGAATAAATTTACCAGAATATTTAAATTTGCCGTTGCCGAAGTTCACTTCTACAGACCCGCCTTGTGATCTAAATCCAATACAAGGATATAAAATGCCTTTGAAATCACTATTTAGATGGCACGCAATTCCTTAAAATATTTTATAATTATTAAATTTCTATATATTTGCTTTTAAGAGATATAAATTTAATTTCTAAGATTTGGTTACCTAAATTGATTCCATCTTTAGTATAAAATACTATGTTATTTCTAAAATTTAGATAGCATCCAACTGTATCACCAGTAGTATATCCAGGAGTATATCCATAATATGATATATCATATGGCTCGCCACTTCCTGAACAAAAAGAATATTCATCGTCACCATGATAGCCACACCCCCATGTTTCATTTTCCTTATTGTTCATTTTCTTTAGCTTCTTTATTTTCCTTATATTCCTGACCTAAGAGATAAGTAGATATTAATTTGTAATAATAAGAAAATAAATTAAAAATTTGCTATTACCGGGCATGAGCATATTATTTATATAAGTTGAATCGTCTATTTTTTTATCGCTTTTCTTTGTACAATATCCGATTCCAATCATTCTATTAAGAAAATAGAATCAAAAGACTATAAAAATCATAAGAACAAAGGTGAATATTTATGATACCCATTTTTTCCTTTGTTTATGGTTTTAATTTCAAAGTAAAATATCCCACACTCTGAAGGGATTGGATGATTTGCTCGAACTATAGCAGCTTTAAAATCATTAGGATCTTTAATTGAAAGTTTTTTTAATGAATTAAAAAGTTATGACATTCTTTAAATTACCAATGATTAATATTCATTAAATATGTTTCTGCGAGACTTCTTGTTTTCATCTTACTTGTATAAGTCACTTTAAGTCCACTTGAATCTATGTCAACAAACGATGATTTATCTTTGATATCCCATTTAGTCGGTAAAACAATATCATTGTACGAAGTTATTGATTCTAAATCTCCCATCAAGTTAAATTCTTTCGCTTAAACGTCAGTGAACATATAAAAGCAACTTATAGATTTGGTATATGAATACAAGCATTTATTATCGAATATAATCATTATTTATTTGTAGTTTTATCATACGTACGTAAATTGTAGTTACGTACGTATCACAATTTTGTGTCGGAATATATTTCGACATAACATTATTTCTTTGTCGAAATGTCAAGAATCTAATTTGACTAAATGTCTAAATTATACGTAGTAGAGAGAGCTTATACATTAATAGTAACTGATTTTTGAATTGATAGTAATCCAAATTTACATTTAGCATAGTGAGTATTGTGTGAAAAAAAGCACGCATAACATGTGAGAAAATTTTCAACTGATATCGTTTAGAAATATATATACAGTAAAATTAAACCCGCTTAATGGAGCACACAACCGTTTTTAGATCAAATTTATTTTAAGTAGCATGAAATCCACAAAATAAGCAAGTTCGGATATTTGCTAATAAATAAGTTTATAAATTTTTTTTAATTTAGACATTTCGACATTATTTAGACACTTTGACATTATTTAGACATTTCGGCATAATTTAGAATTTCGGCAGACTAAATATCAAGTGTCGAAATATTTCTATAAGCTCAAAACAATTTCGGCTAATAAAATTATGTATCACTTCACCGATACTCATTTTGTAGACACAACACTTCACCGACAATCAGTGTTGTTAAACGGCTTGTTCATTGGTAATTGTCGCATCCTTTTAATATTATTTATTGTTCAATGTGATAAATAGCATAATAAAAAGATGTGACGATTACCAATGAACATGTCCATTTAACAACACTGCCGACAATCAATACACCTACCGTACGTACGTACATGTTTATTTTACTGGCACTTAACTCACCGACAGGTTCATTTCACAGACAGTTTATTTCACCGACAAGCTTTTTTTTTAAAAATTACATTGTTTATAAAATGAGCTTTTGGTAAAAATAAACTCTGTGAAATGAACTTGTCAGTAAATTAGGTGTCAGTTAAATAAACAAAGTAAGCGGAACCGATAGCAGATAATAATAATTGTTGCGGCTGAAGCTGGAAATTAGGGACTGATTTGAAAATATAATCCACTTATACTCTTTTATTATTAAAACTACCCCTAAACCCTAACCTAAACCTAAAAAAAAACCTCTAACAAAAGGCCCAAAAAATTTTTGAAAATTTCATATTAAAATAATTAAAATTTCCAGCTTCAGCCATTTCCACCTTCAGCCGCGACAATAATTCAATCTATATTAAAGGTTAACGCTAACTGACAAATAATTTCTTGTTATCTGGCATGATTTGACGGATACATGGGTATTGGCAGGATAATAGCAAAAGCAGAAAAAGCTCGTTCGTGCGTTGCAGTTATACTGCCGATGTCCAGATAACTAGTTTAAATTTTATATTACTTCCGCAGATTTTTATATTAAAGCTAAGAAGAATTTTGGCCTACTTTAATATGAAATTTTAACGCTTATAAGATTTAGTGCTTTAAT